CTAGACCCCTCCCTGCATGAAACAGGGACTTGGGGGGCTGGCCCTTCTGTGAAATCTAGAAAACTGGCCCTGTAGCCAGAGAAGGACATGGAAGACTGCCACCTGCCCAGGGCTCTGGACAGGGAATGAAAGCTTGCTGGAAAAAGTCAACTTTTCTGGTTTGAATGTATCTGCAAAGGGCAGCACTACCAAGCCAAGAAATGTACATAAACCCCATCTAAGGCTGGTGGGACCCTGCAATCCTGGCAGAGGCAGACCAGAAATGCTCTGGAGGGACCCTCCCACCACCCCGGGGGCAGAGACCTCTCTGGAGAAAAACACTCTTGCCCAATATGATCTCAAAAAGAATTAGAACCCTTAGGAGAAAATGAAATCATTTAGTCATGTGGTACGTGTCTTAATACTGGCGCAAGAGCTCCAGTTTTCTCTCTACACCGCAGGCAAAGTGAACCTTTTGAACCATAAGCATGGATCATTCTGTTAGAGGGAGATCACTTGATAAAATGAAGTCTTTCATCACCTAATAGGCCGAAACTCCTTCCCCTCCACCCCACACACTCTGCTCAAGCCACGCAGTCTCTTTACTGTCCCTCAAGGCCTTGTTATGGGGTGAACTGTGTCCCTGTTCCTCAAAAAAATAACCCGATATGTTGAAATCCTCCCCTCTGGTACTTGGAAACATGATCTTATTTACCAGTAGGGTCTTTGCAGATGTAACCAAGTTCTGATGAGGTCAATAGGGTGAGCTCTTAATCCAATACGACTGGTGTCCTTCTAGAAGGGAAGATGGTTATGGGAAAAGAGACACACAGGGAGAAGAGGCTACATGACCACAGAGGCGGAGATCAGAGTGATGCTACAAGGCAAGGAGAGCCAAGGGTTGCTGGCCACCGCCAGAAGCTAGGAAGAGGCAGGAAAGGATTCTCCCCGACAGACTGCTGAGGGAGCATGGCCCTGTGGACACTGACTTGGACTTCCAGACTCAGAATTGGAAGACAATACATTTCTGTTTTTTTTGTTTGTTTGTTTTGTTTTTATGCGGTACGAGGGCCTCTCACTGTTGTGGCCTCTCCCGTTGCGGAGCACAGGCTCCGGACGAGCAGGCTCAGTGGCCATGGCTCACGGGTCCAGCCGCTCCGCGGCATGTGGGATCTTCCCGGACCGGAGCACGAACCCGTGTCCCCTGCATCAGCAGGCGGACTCTCAACCACTGCGCCACGAGGGAAGCCCCCATTTCTGTGTTTTAAGCAGCCTGGTTTCTGGTATTTTGTTCCAGCAGCCCCCGGGGAACTAATACAAGCCTCAAATGTGTTCCAGCACTTTCTGATCCCTCTGCTTGCAAAGCGCTTCCACAGAGAACCTCCCTTACTCCCCACAGGCCCCTGTTCAACTGGCAGCTTTGCAGAGAGGCCCTGTCCCACTGAACCCCCAAAACTGACATTTCCTGCCTCTCTCCATTCCTTTGCCTGGCTTATTATTTTTCTTCATGGTTCCTAGTCATAGCTAACCTTATGGTATGTATCTTTTGTTTATTGTCTGCCTTGCCTTCTAGAATGTAAGTTGCATGAAAGTAGAGATAGTCCAATTCATTGCTGTAATGCTCAGTGCCCGCCACGTGCCTGACCTAGGCATGCCCTCCATACATATTTGTTTCATAAATGAATGAGCTACTTGAGAGTACAGTTTATTTTTTTATCCTTCCCAGTATCCAATATAACGCTTTGCTCATAGTAGACTCTCAGAAAATATGTGCAGATGAACTAATAAACCCATCATCACTAGTGGGCTTAAGGCTCTGTGTGGTTAAGAGTGGCAGTCAAAATGCACATCGCGTTGGCTTGCATTTGGTGGCCTCTTTGCTTAAAACAGTTGTGGGGACAATCGGTCAGGTTTCATCAGAGCTCACCATTTGTCTGCTTCACGCAGCCACTGCTTCTCTTGCACTGAATGCCCCCATCCTCGCCCTGTTGTTCTGATTAAGGAGACAGAATTGAGTAATCTAAATTTAGTTTGTGTAGCTCAGAGGTGCCAATCATGGCAAATAATGAATTAGGGGATCTCCCCACCCCCCTTTCCTGAAGCATTGAGCTGAAACCAACAAATTCATTTTATTTAGGATCACAGGCTGAATTCTGAGTGCTGTCTGTGAGAAGAGAATGCTTTCTTCACTAATTAAGTCACCAGAGCTCAGGCAAACCCTCTCCCGGGTGGTGGGAGTGTTGCTTATCTGAGTTGGCCCAGAGAAGGTGCTTTCTGTTTGTTAAGGGAAGTGGTTATAATTTTGGTACAGATATTTAAGCCAGAAAAAAATGCATTTATATACACATACATATGTGTATATATACATAAAAAAATATATATATACATATGTATATAAATCTCATATAGTTTTATAAATTTCTTTAGCCTTTCAAGGGCTTTCTGGATTTCTTAGTAAAACCCATATTTAGAATTCACATCTTCTGATTTAAGGGCTGTGTTTTCCTATCAGTTTTGAAAAGGACCCATATAAAGCATATTTTATCTGTTTCCACTTCAAAAGAACATAAAAATTTACTCACTGAAAAGCTGTTGTATTTGATGCTTTTTGTAAGAAATAAGCCATAGATTAGAAATAACAAATGTCATGAAGAGCTCTTTGGGGAAAAATAATGAAGTTCTGTTTCCATTTGTAACCTATGAGTCTTAATATGTGTGTCGGGAGGTTTTATACATGAGTATAATATTGAATGAGTTTTCTGAGAGTCAGTAAAAGGAAAATGAATGAAATGGTGCTGATTCATTTTTTTAAATGTTATTATGTTGATATATTTAATAAAGCATGGTTTGCTCGTTCCTTTCTTTTTTCTGGCCAGATACAAATTTAACTTGCCCCAATGTTGATTACATGAGATTTGGCACCTTTATGCCTTGTCACTAATCATCAGCATTTCCCTGGGAGGGACCAGAAGACCCCTGCTATCTCCACTTAGCAGGAGCGGTACAGCACCCGGGATGGAAGGGTGACTTATCCTGAGCCTCCTGAGCCGAGAAGAGCCCACATAGCTCAGTCATTAAAAACCCTTGGCTTTTTCTACTTCTCTGGCCTTGTCAACACTTTTTCCAGCACAGCATTTCAAACTGTAGAGACGTTTTGTGTAGTTGATTTAAAAGCAATGGGGGGCTTCCCTGGTGGCGCAGTGGTTAGGAACCCGCCTGCGAATGCAGGGGACACGGGTTCAAGCCCTGGTCCCAGAAGATCCCACATGCCATGGAGTAACTAAGCCCGTGTGCCACAACTACTGAGTCTGCGCTCTGGAGCCCGTTAGCCACAACTACTGAAGCCCGCACACCCTACAGCCCATGCTCCACAACAGGCGAAGCGAAGCCACCGCGATGAGAAGCCCGCGCACCGCAACGAAGAGTAGCCCCCGCTCGCCGCATCTAGAGAAAGCCTGCGTTCAGCAACGAAGACCCAACGCAGCCAAAAATAAATAAATAAATAAAATAATAAGTAAATTTAAAAAAAAAAAAGCAATGGGTTTAGGCTTTAGGTAGAGGAGTATATTATCTATAAATATCACCTCTTCAAAGGGCAAATTAAACTAATGTAATTTTCATTCTGAGAATGGAGAGCTAGCAAAATGTATAGGAAAGCAGTTGATACAAGGAGCAAGTTTTACTGTCTGTTTCTCAGGGGACACCTCTTGCCTGATTTGAAGATTGTGTAGATAATATGAAAGGCAATCCACTTAAGTTGACATTTTACACCAAGCTGATAACCAGAAAGAGGACCCACTTTAATAATAAATAAACGAATTCAATGAAGAGCATACATTTTAGCTACAGAAAACTGGTTTTGCATTCCATTTTCCTGGAATGTTCCACGTGGCTTGCCCCCTTACTTCCTCAGGTCTTTGCCCAAATGTCAGTGAGGTCTTCTCTGACCCATCTATTTCAAATTGCACTAGCCTCCCCTCCCTCATCTCCCTTACATAGCTTCATTCTTTCTGATGCTCATCATCACCCTAAATACTACATATTGTGATTATTTTCTGTCTCTCCCCTAATCCCTATGTAAGCCCCTTGTCTGCTCTGTTCACTGCTGTTTTCCCAGTGCACACAGTAGGTGCTCAATACTTGTTCAGTGAATGAAAGAATGGTACCTGACACCTTTCTATTCCAAAGGTTGGTCTTGTACTTCGAGACGCACTGAGCATTAGGGCCAGATGGGCAGGCAGAGGTGTGGGAATGTAGCAAGGGCTAGAAATGAGGGGGGCACCTGTTCTGTGCGCGGGATTGGGGCCAGGCAGTCACCCTGCGAAGGTGTACAGACAGGATACTGACGGACCTCACTGTACCAGCCCTCCAAAAAATGTGTTTGCCGGACTGGCCTTCACTTTTCCTAATGCTATCACGTTAGCAGCCTAATGTTTGCTTTCTGGTCCCAGCTGTGAAACTCTGCTGCATAGAGATAGATACCTCAGAGGAACTTAACAAGTATGTCATGAATGTCTGATATAAAATAATTCCTTTTCTCATTCTGAAAACAAAGCAAAATAAAACAGGGTCGGTACAGCTGTGCTGTAACTAGGCCACAAAACTGGAGAATTGAGGCAAAAGCATTGTCATATGTAAGTGATAGTAGTGGAAATGTCAAGAAAGTTCTTTGCGTTGTCATGGCTGCAGTTCCTGCCTTGGTCAGGTGGGCGCATGCAACCAGGGCGTTCGTTCAGGGCGACCCGCACGGATTTTTGGTGGTTTGGGTGGAAGGTGCCAAGTGCACAGCCTGGGACCCTTTCTTACTCTGGGGACCTCGCTGCCGCAAGGCGGGCTCCCGGGGAGGGGAGTGTCTCCACCTGGCCCCGCCCGTGAAGCCCCGCCCCTGCCCGGCACCAATGAGCGGGTGCACGGCACGGGCGCAGGGAGCGGCAGCGCCTGATAAGGAGGCGTGGGTGGTGGGTGCTGAGGTCTGCTGCTAGCCGTTGGTGGGGCCCGCGCCTGGGTGTGCTGCAGCGGGAGGAACCCAGGTCCCGGGCCGAGGCTGCCCCGGGAATGGTTTTAGTCAGCACAAACATGGCTGCGGCCCTGCGATCTGCGGGCGTCCTGCTCCGCGATCGGCGTAAGTGGGGCTGTCGCGGCCGCCGCCGAGGCGGGAACAGCGGGCAGCTGGCGCCGGGGTCCCCGGGCCTGGGAACTTCCAAGGAGCGGCGGCGGGCTGCGCAGGAAGTTGCCCGCGACGGGGCGAGGGGAGGAGAAAGGATCCGGAAAGGGGCGCTCCCCTGGGAGGGGCGAGAGTGGGGTACGTGGGTCCCCCGAGGACCCTGAGAGGCCGCGAGGAGGGGTCCCGGAGTCACATCGGTCAGCTGGGTGGCCGTGAGCAGTGGCTGAATTTCTAAGAGCCTTAGTTCTTATCTGTAAAATAAGAATAATGATAGTCGCAGGATTGTTGTGATTTCGGGAGGCAGAGTGTGTTAAGGGCCTGCCACAGAGACAGTACCGTTGGCATCATTATACTCATTATCACCATGGGCATCTACCCTGGGGTTCCCTCTCTGGTGGTGGAGGTCACACTGTGCCCACTGCTGCCCTGGCCCCTGGCGTCACCCGGTGCTCACTTGTCCTTGGCAGCAGGACCCGCCGCGGGGCAGCTCAGGCTAGTATTTTCTAGAGATATTTGGAGAAGAAATAAGACCCATGGACAACCTCACACTTTTCGGATACAGACGTGAATGTAGGTTGTGTCCACAGGATGAGCGGACGGGACTCTGGTTCAGAAACACCTGGCTGGGTCACTAGCTCTGCAGCATTCCTGTGACCCCCCTGAGTGAGGCATTCACCCCAGCTTGAACTTTGCTAAACATAAAAGAAGGTAATACCTCATAGCCTTGCCGTGAAGATTAGCAGGATACAGGTAAAGCCTGTAGCACAGTCCCTGGCACACAGTAGATACATAGATAACCTCAAAATGTTCAGTTATTAGTATGTAAAAGGCTGCCACCTACTAAGATGCTTAATTTGTATATTTGAATGATGACTGGACACAGACCTGACATTTTTCTAAGAAGTTCCCTAATTCATCAATCTGTCACTTACTGAAAAGGAGTGGAGAGTCCACTCTGAACCTCCGTATCTTATTACAGGTGCCTTTGTTGGAAAAATAATAAGGACCCAGTGTCCAATGACAATCCGGTCACTAAGGGCAGTGGGAGACGAAAGACATTATCTTTTAAGAAAAGGAAGCACAGTGCCAGGAACGGGGCTGAAAGAAGAATCAAATTAGCCTTTTCTTTCACTGACCCTTCCTGTGGCAAAGAAAGTCTGACAGTCTCTAGAGTTGAGGTCATAGAACAATATGAGAAACTTTAAATGCTTTGTTGTCCAGGTTATAAGTAACCAAGTGGAAGGATTCAGAAACCACAGCAGAAGTAGATTTGAAGTTCAATTGAATTACAGACTCTGATTTTAGATGTAGTTATAATACTTTATCTTGTTTTATATGAAGGGATTAACATCTGGGTTAGAAAAAATTGAGTAGTATTTCTCAAAATGAATTCTCAAAGTAGGAAAGCAAAGTTTTACACTCTATGTTTTTAGCATAGTACAGAATTAATAAGAAGCTCCCTAGTATATATGTATATAGTATATACGTATATTTTAGAAAGTTAATAGAATAAAGAATTATGGTTTCTTTGTGACGTTTTCTTTCCAGATTTTTTACGTTAGGCATATATGTCTTTTGTAATTGGAAAAAACAATCTAGAATAATAAAAAAGAATATCATGGGCTTCCCTGGTGGCACAGTGGTTGAGAGTCCGCCTGCCAATGCAGGGGACACGGGTTCGTGCCCTGGTCTGGGAAGATCCCACATGCCGCAGAGCGGCTGGGCCCGTGAGCCATGGCCGCTGAGCCTGCGCGTCCGGAGCCTGTGCTCCGCAGCGGGAGAGGCCACAACAGTGAGAGGCCCGCGTACCGCCAAAAAAAAAAAAAAAAAAAAAAGAATATCAATGTTTAAATTAATACATGAGAACATTCTGGCTCCATACTAGAAAAATAACAATTTTTTTCTTAAAGCCTTCCCTCACCAAGTGTTTATTAATAGTTACAATACAGAATCTTATTTCTGTTAATTTTTAAAATGATACTCATGTTTATAAGGACCTTTTGAAATAATCTTCATCTGCTGTGTGATAGAAAAGGGCTGTATTAGGTACTTGTGTATCTTGTTTTCTACCCTCCCATGTACCACCCCCAAGCATCCAAAATATTAAATACTTGTTTTGGAGAATCACTTGATACCCATGAACTTCTTAAGTCACAGGTATACTTTTGAATGATTCACCTATTGGGTGTGTCCAGGAATTAATGAAGTTTTGTTTTCTTACATCATCTTTTCTGCATATCCCTTGGTTTTATAGCTTTTATTGTTTGTAGGCCTTCCAAAGGTAGACCAGTTGTCCATGCCAAGAGTAGGGTTAGAATTAACTGGTCTTAGTTCATAAGTGGACAGATCCTTACTATTGAGTGTTCTTACTTCATGCATTGTGCCAGACACTGTTCTTGGGGCTGGACATAGATTTTTAAAAATTTTCCTCATCTTTACAACAGCCCTGCAAGTTTGGCCTTATCACTGTTTTACAGATGAGAAAAGTGAGGCTTGGAGTAGCTCAGTGAGTTGCCCAATTAGTGTCACACAGCTTGTTTGGTCCTATCTGGAATTTCTGCTCAGATCTCTCTAGCTCCAGAACACACACTCTATACCACACGATGCTGCCTGTGCCTTCGAATTTCTCTTAAGCTGTGAGCTGAGTGTATTCAGGAGTCTCATTTGGTTCTTTGAATAATTACTTTAAACTTCTTTAGCTAGATTAATACTAATCATTTGGTAGGAGATACTGTGTTTTTCTGGAGTCTTCAGATCATCAAGGGAGAGGAGTGTTTCAGAGAAGTCCTTGAGAGGTGGGTGTGTTAACCCTATATCCTGAGCAGAAAGGATCCATCATTAGCATCACCTTCTTTGAGAATTTATTTAACCTCAGAGAAGAGAATTTTGTAAGTAGAGGGCATGGCAATAGTTTTCAGCAGCTTGAAAAGCTACCAGCTCCCAAACTGTACTAAGCAATGCTAATGTACTCTAGTCTCTAGTCTCTAGTACTAGTGTACTAGGCTAATGTACTCTAGACTCTAGTCTCATCCTTATTCCCTACCCCCACCCCACCCCCTTTTAAAGTTTGCAGGAGGAAATCTTATTATATTACCAGCAGTCAAATTATGTAATGCCAAAGTTCTGATACCTCATGGAATCTGATATAACCTCATTTATATAAGGAATTGCAGACATCGCAGCTTGATTGAGAACCTGGTTAAATCTCATCGTGCAGTTCAGAATTGGACTTGTCTGAAATAAGGAGATGTGAGTTGGTTTGAGACTTCATGTGAGCGGAATTGAAGTTCTTTATGTCAATCTTTGCACTTCTGCTTTGAGTTAATAAGGATTGTTCAGCTCAAGCTCACGTAATTGGCTCTGTTGGGAATGTGCACAATCTGGATAGTTGGAAATCTAAGTGGCCTGGAAATATCATTCTCCTACATTTTATAGACCTGCTAGGTGATAAAAAAAAAAAAAAAGAAAAAAAATCAGAGAAGGTATAGTCCCCATGCTCTAGACACTTACCAAGGAAAATAATACTGGTACCAATATATGAGGCAGGCCCTGTGAAGAGTGCTCCACTGGTCTTATCTGCTGTAATCTTTACAAGGATGCAGATAGCAGAGTTTCACCATTTTACAGCTGGGGAAACTAAGGCTCAGAAAGATTATAACCCAGCCCCAGTTACGTTACTAGTAAGTGGCAGAACTGGATTCAGAGTCGGGTCCGTTGGTCCACAGCCCGGGTTCCTCACCAGAGCACATTTGACTCATAAGTAGGAGGAGGGTAGAAGGAGACTGATCTCAGGCTGGTTTCAGACCCGCTGGTTTGAGACTGGGGAAGGGAGGTTGTGTGTATACTGCGGGGCACAGTAGTAACTACTGTCCTGCATTTTGCCATCTTGAGTACCTACTGTGTGGTTTCAGTTTAATTTCACTCTGTGTTGTTTAAGGATGAATGCCATTCATGCTATAACTGGGTATGGCCCATGGACTCCTCGATTCAGATAGGCTCTCCAGGCCCACAACTAACTTTGTGGTGCCCGGGACAAGACCCGTATACAGCAAGCTAACAGACTGTGAATTATATTCTGTTCTGCTGTGCTGACAAGTAGACCTTGCTAACGGCCTGGAAGGGTGAACTCTTGAACTCTTCACAGTTCCTACAGAAATGCCGCGGCCTTGAGAAAGTTGCCTCGGGAGGGCAGACTTCCCTGCTTCTCTTCCCACTCCTGGCCTGCCCGCCATGGTGAAGAGTCTTGTGCATACTCCAGTGTGTATGTATGTTCAAGCTCCATTCTTGACCCTATGAACAGCCACCAGTTGGCTACCCTTCAGATCAAGAATTGCTTATACTGATGGTGCGATCTGCCATCAGGAGGATGGATGCAGGAAAGAGGCCTGCGCCAGACCCCGGAAGTGGAGCTTTTGGGGCAAGGAATTCTGAGGTCCTGGGTCCTGGGAGCCTGGTCAGGAATGGGGGAGCATGGACTCTGGGGGTCCATGAATCCTTGGCCATGCAGATGGCATACCCCATGGGGCAGGGTGCAGAAGGAGGTGGACCAGAATCGGCCCTTGAAAGCAGAGCACCTCCGTCCCCCGGCCCTTGTCAGAGTCCAAGGGCAATTCTGGGGTTCTTAGTTCTGGTACTGTATTGGAGAAGGCTAGGAGGCAGATATGAGATCTGTGCAAGTGGTAGAAAACTGGCCCAGTTTCCACTCCTTAAATCAATGTTTCTTAACCTTTTCTGCAGGCTCCTCACCTTTCATATGAGCAGTATGCTGCCGTCATAACATGCAGTGATCTCATGAGGGGTCATATCAAAAGCGGCGGCCAAGGCAGTGAGAGGAGGTGTGTGTGGCTTCTAAAAAGGCTCCATGCAAGTCCTGTAAGCCATCCTAGGGGACGCCATCCCACCCCCTCAGAGAGGTCTTAAGAGCCTTCACCCACCTGCAGTGAAATGCTGGGGAAATCACCTCTGCTGTAGCATCTCTATTAAATTTTAGATCCAGGAATTATGCTCTGATGACCTCTTCAAAAGCAATTACTTTCCAGCTAGATTTCATGCTGCCACTTTAATTTTGTCACAGTGGTATATGGTGGCTCAAGGGCCTGTCAGCCACGGAGGTGCCAGTTGGGTGCAGCCACAGCAGCAGCCGCCACAGAAACAGCCCAACGTGCCAGAAGCCCCAGATCTCAAGTTCAGCCGGGGAACAGGTATGAGTCTAATTTTAGGTACTGATAAGGATTTCTCTTTCTTGACGCAAACACCGGTGGATACCAGCTACTGGGAAAACCCAGTATGTAAGGAGTGGTATGTTATTTTCTTGGCTTCCTTTCAATAGCTGTTAAACTTATAGATTGCACCCCCAATTAAGGCTTTAAAAGTGTTTTTGAATTTTGATAGATTTTTACATTTTCTATCAAAATTTTTTCCCCCAGCTTTATTGAGGTCTGGTTGACAAATAAAAATCCCACAGGGCTTTTGTTAAAGGACACAGAGTTGAGTACAAACAATCTGCAGATCGTGTGGGAATTTAGTTTTGGAATATGTCCCATAACAGAAATTATGTGTATGCTGGAAATATGTTTATGAACCTAGCATAATTATACTTACGAAATACATCTCCTGTGCAGGAAAAGGAATAACTAATCCACCAAGAATTTCTGTAGTAAACTGTTAATGCAGTGAATATTATTGTAAATGCCATAATGTGATTTACAGTTTATTAAAGAAACAAAGTACGTTCCCTACCTCACCTCTGCTGTTTGCGGGTGGACGTCAGCAGGCATGGTGTTGCTACTGGGTGTCCTCTTCAATATCAGAGGCCACAGCTGTTTTCAAGTCTTCCTCTGGTACAGAGGCAACAGAAGACTGCAAAGGTCGCTTTTTAGATGAGTACACAGATAGGAGTAATGCACTTTAACACTGGGCAGAGAGAAAGTAGCTGTGGACTATTAGCGCCTTGACCTTTCTGGTAGACCAGATGTTCCACGAGAGCTTTATAGCTTTGAAAATAGTCATATTTTGTGTTTGTTACTTTTAATTCTGTGATCCTGGGTATGATGATGGAGCACTTAGTGAACTGAGGTTTGTTGGGGATAGGGCAGTAGGGTGGGGTCCCAAATCATCTCCTTTCGACTCTCGGGCCTCCTGAAAAACCACATGTGGGAAGGGAGACAGGAAGCACAGACACTATCTCCATCCTGGGGGCATGCCCAGCAGGACGCCACTCCTCCTTGTCCCCCACGGCCCCTCTTTTCTCACCTCAGCCATAGTACAAAGTGCTTTAAGTATTTAGGGTTTGGGGTAAGTATTTGGTGTAAACTGAAGAACTGATTGGATGTGGAACCCTGGGAGAAAAATTATCTCATTACTATGTTATCCTGGTGGCAAAAGTCAACAACATAAATTGACTTAAGGGCTTCCCTGGTGGCGCAGTGGTTGAGAGTCCGCCTGCCGATGCAGGGGACACGCGTTCGTGCCCCGGTCCAGGAAGATCCCACATGCCGCGGAGCGGCTGGGCCCGTGAGCCATGGCCGCTGAGCCTGCGCGTCCGGAGCCTGTGCTCCGCAGCGGGAGAGGCCACAACAGTGAGAGGCCCGTGTACCGGAAAGTTAAAAAAATAAAAAATAAAAAATAAATAAATAAATAAATCGCCTTAAGATTAAATTATTAAAATTGAATAAAAATCTAAAAAGACTCCCAAATTCTAGTAAGTAACTTTATATCATATTTATGCAAAAGAAATCAGTTCATTTTAGAAAATACAGACAGGAAAAAAAAAAATCACTGATAATCTCACCACCCAGTATTTTGTCTCTATACCTGTATCTATTAATATTTACTCAGTATATATTTATCAAAATGTGATAATACTACATATATTATTTTTATAACTTCCTCTTTTTATTTAATGTCTACCACATAACTGTAAAAAAATCTACATAATTTTAATAGCCTAAGAGTATTTTATTAAATCTTAATTTATTTATCCAATCTCATGTTATGGGGCACATAGGTTATTTCTGGGTTTTAAATATTAGAGATGATGGGGCTTCCCGGGTGGGGCAGTGGTTGGGATTCTGCCTGCCAGTGCAGGGGACACGGGTTCATGCCCTGGTCTGGGAGGATCCCACATGCCGCGGAGCGGCTGGGCCCGTGAGCCATGGCCGCTGAGCCTGCGCATCTGGAGCCTGTGCTCCGCAACGGGAGAGGCCACAGTAGTGAGAGGCCTGCGTACCGCAAAAAAAAAAATTAGAGATGATGAAGTGGTGAGTGTCTTTGTGAGTCATTCTGATGCCAGATATGATGAAGGCCTTGTGCTGCTTAGTGCTCAGACTACTCTAGACAATACTACACTACAAATTTGTCCTCAAAGGGCTGAGTGGTACATGTTTTCAGGCTTTGTGGGCCATTTGGTCTTGTTTGCTGCTATTCACCTCCTCCATCATAATGTGAGAGCAGCCACAGGTGATACGTAAACAAATGACTGGAACTCTGTTCCAATAAAACGTTTTTTAAAAAAATTAATTTATTTTATTTATTTATTTTTGGCTGTGTTGGGTCTTTGTTGCTGCGTGTGGGCTTTCTCTTGTTGCAGCGAGCGGAGGCTACTCTTCGTTGCGATGTGTGTGCTTCTCATTGCAGTGGCTTCTCTTGTTGCAGAGCACGGGCTCTAGGTGCACGGGCTTCAGCAGTTGTGGCTCATGGGCTCTAGAGTGCGGGCTCAGTAGTTGTGGAGCATGGGCTTAGTTGCCCCGTGGCATGTGAGATCTTCCCGGACCAGGGCTCGAGCCCATGTCCCCTGCATTGGCAGGCAGATTCTTAACCACTGAGCCATCAGGGAAGCCCTGTTCCAATAAAACTTTATTTACAAAAGTAGGCAGGGGGTGTGTGGGCAAATTTGACCCATGGACTGGAGTTTGCCAAACCCTGTTCCAGAGGCAGCATAGATCCTCTGGCCAATTACATCTTGGAGATTTAATGAAGAGCTGGGATTTGTTTTTTATCTTGATGATGACTATATATAGTAGAATAGAATTAATCTGTTCCTTTGTTAATTGATGAGCTTAAGTTTTGGTTTGTCCAATTAATAGTTCAAAGGAAAAACTTCGTATTTTGAGAGTGCAAGAATATAAATGGCAAAATGTGTCAACCTTTTCAAATGAGAAGCTTTCAATATGTTTGCCGTACACGCTTTTACATTCAAACAAGGGGAACTTGACCATTCAGACTTCGGTGTCAGATGTTCTGTGTCTGGAGGGGAGAAGAGACAGCAACCCTTGACTAAAGCTTTGCAGTTCACATTCGGGAATAGAGGGATGTTGAACTAGGGCTTCCTAATGCGCCATTCATCATGCACAACACAGTTTTGAATTAAGTGCAAGCGTATTTAGGTATTTTCAAATTGTGTGTTTCTTTCATGTATAAGATCAACATGGTTTGCAAAACATGGGTTTGCAGGGTAGAGTAACATCCCATTTAAAGCCACTCTTGTTCTGAGCTCAGATGTTATAGATGAAAAACAGTTCTAAATCCCGTTTGCACATTGATGCCCTCTGTGGCTTAGGTAAGTCTCTTAGCGTGGGGTTTCTTAACCAGTAATCTGTTAACTGGCAGCAATCCATGGAAAAATGCACTTAATTTATTGTGAGTCACAGCTTTTGAGGGTGAGAGACAGAATCCCAGAACACCAGTGGCCTAAGTAGAAAGATTAAGGGAATATTACAATTTCACAATATAATGAATCTGGAATTTTCAGGTATCAGGAAAACAAAACACCAGTTTGTTAATTCATTGATAGGACTTCTGGCCCGAGGGGGTAGAAAAGTTATGGAACAACAACTTCAATGTGGTTGCTTGGTTTAGTAAAAAGAGATTAAACCCCTTTCCTCTAACACAGTGGTTCTGAACAGAGGGTGGGATGGGGGATCATTTATGTCCCTGGGACATATTTGGCAATGTCTGGAGACATTTTTGGTTGTCACAGCTGGGGTAGGGTGTGTGCTATTGCCATCTAGTAAGTAGAGGCCAAGGTTGCCACTAAACCTCCTACAAAGCACAAGACAGTCCCACAACAAAGGATTATCCAGCCCCCAATGTCAGCAGTGCTGAGGTCAAGAAACCCTGGCCTAAGACAATGATGTGAAAAAAGTGAACTTGCTTAATCTATATAATGGGGTCTAAATTAGAAAATCTCTGAGTTCATTGTGATGGAGCACTTCCCTTTCCCCAGAATTTGGTTCTTATTTTGAAAACTTAGGCTGAGAATTCAGATTTCTACTTCATCCACCTATACTGTGTTTGATCAAGAAAATGGTTTTTACTTGTATAAATTTGACACACTGTTGCCTAAAATTATTGCCAAACATTATTAACATTTTTTAAAAAATTACAATTAAAATGTCATCATGATATCATTAGCTTTAGAACACTTTAAGAGCAATCTTCCAAACGAGACCCATCTCAGCAGGATTGCTGTAGTCACTGCATTAGCTAGAGGTGGTCTTGGCATAGGAGATTTAGAAAGTAGACCCCCTCGGCATTTGTAATAATGGTGTTTTAAATCAACATCAGGCTGCTTATTCCTCGGCTGCTTTATCAAGAGTCAATGGAGAGGATACCCATACGTTGGAATATTATTCAGCCATGAAAGGGAAGGATTCATGCTACAATATGGATGAACCTTGCAAATTTTATGCTAAGTGAAAGAAACCAGACACAGAAGGCCACATATTATGATTCTATTTCTGTGAATAGGCAAATCCATAGGCCCAGAAAGTAGATTTAGTGGTTGCCAGGGGTGAGGGAGGGGGAGAATGGGGAATGGCTGTAACGGATAAGTGGGGTTTTGGGGGCTGAGGAAAATGTTTAGGAATTAGATAGCTGTAATGGTTGCCTAACCTTGAGCACATATTAAAAACCACCAAATTGTACAGTTTAAAATGGCAGGTGTTATGGTATGTGAATTATATCTAAATGTTTACAGTGCACAAAAAGAAAAAAAAGGATGAGTGGAAGAAACACTCCTTGTCCTTTCTTTTCCCCACCGGCAGCCTCTTTCACTCCTGTCACACGAGGAAAGACAGGCCCGCAGTTCTCCACGCTCCCATCTCAGGCTTTGACCTTGTGGTTCCGACCAGAGTCATGGTCTTCTGGTGGCTCCCCCGAAGCTCAGGGGAGACACTTGGTCCTGCTCTGGCTCCATCTTGCCCCCTGGCTGGTTTAGGAATAGAGAACTCATCCTGGCCTGGCTCACTTCGGCGGTGCAGGCCTTGGAGCTGCTCTGGATTTTATAAGTTTACATTTTTGCATAGTCCTTTTTAAAAAAAATTTCCCAGAAGCTGCATGGCTTTCTTTTTGTTTCCTTTTGCTCATCCAGTGGTTGATTCTTTAGCCTGGGACTAATTTGAACAATTCAGAACAGTGTTTTACAGGAATTACCTAAGTAGTGGGTTTTATATGAAGGATGGTGAGGTGAGTGTAAAGTGAGAAATGTAGTTTATCACAGCAGGGGACACTGAACAGGAGTAAAGGCAGGCTCTGGAGAAGGAAGCAGAGTAGCAAGAAATAATTTAAGCCATTAATAATTTAATAATTAACTAAAGAGAAGGGAGTAAATAAGGGCTGATAGTTTACTGGGGAGGTTTAAAATTATAGGGAAACCCACAGCTCCCCTGTGTAGAATAGAACCTACTGTTTTTGCCAGCTTGTGCTGAATAAGTACATTATGCACTTAATTCTCAAAATAACTTTTTGAGGTAATTGGTGGACTCTCTATTTTACAGATGAGGAAACTTAAGCTTGGAGAGATCAGGTAACCTGTGTAGGCACGAGGCAGTCATATGAACAAGTGTTTCAGCCTCAGGACAATTTTAGGTTTACACCTTGACCCTCAGTCCCCAAAGAATCCCCAAAGATCTTTGTTCAGGGCTGACAGTTTAATAGAGGAATATTTGGAGCCCAGGGAAAGTCCAGGGACAGGGATGGAGCTAGGAGGTGAAGGTCAGAGTCTGAGCTGGGACCTTGGACTGTGCAGAGCTGGAGGCCTCATGTGTTCACTGTGACGGCAGTGAAGAGATCTGTAGCTTTTCATCTTTGCATTGAACAGATTAGATGAGAGTTTGCTAGCAGAAACAAAATTCTGCCATAGAAGTGTTACAAATCAATTGTTGCCTTTTGATTTATGTAGGAAGCCGAAAACTGGAATATTAATGCTGAACATGGGAGGCCCTGGAACCGTCGGAGAAGTTCACGACTTCCTTCTGAGGCTCTTCTCGGATCGAGACCTCATGACACTTCCTGTTCAAAAGTAAGATACATGTAAATGCCTATACTTATCCATAACCTGTGCGTACATTTTGCCTTCCATGTATCTCAGTTCTGTAGTTAAAAAATAAATAAATAAACGGTTTTAGTGCACATATGGTAGTGCTAGAGCAGCATTATTATTTTCTATTAGTTATGAGAAGGCTATGATGTAAGAAGAATTGTAGGGGAGAGAGAAAGCAAGTTAGCGAGGATTCCCCTTGGGCCGTTTCCTCCCCAGAGCTCTGGAAATTGCAGCGGTCTGGACACAGCTGAAGGAGCTTTAAAGATGTATTTGCACTTTGTACTTAACTGTCTAACACTCAGGGAAACAATGAGTATTATTCATTTGTGCTGTGGAATTGAGTTCTTGCTGTCCTTCCCTTCCTTTCATTCTTCCCTCCCTCCTTTCTTTCTTTATTTTTTTTGAGGTATGATTGATATTTGTTGTATATTTTGATGTATATGACTGAGTTTCACAATATCTTTTTTTTAAAATTGGAGTATAATTGCTTTACAATGTTGTGTTAGTTTCTGCTGCACAGTGAAGTGAGTCAGCTATATGCATACATATATCCCCTCCCTCTTGGACCTCCCTCCCACCCCCCTCCCCTACCCCACCCATCTAGGTCCTCACAGAGCACCCAGCATAGGTTTTTTTTTGTGTGTGTGTGTGGTATGCGGGCCTCTCACTGCTGTGGCCTCTCCTGTTGCGGAGCACAGGCTCCGGACGCGCAGGCTCAGCAGCCATGGCTCACGGGCCCAGCCGCTCCGCGGCGTGTGGGATCTTCCTGGACTGGGGCACAAACCTGTGTCCCTTGCATCGGTAGGCAGACTCTCAACCACTGCGCCACTAGGGAAGCCCAAGCATAGGGTTTTTTAATAAAAAAACTTATATATGCATATGATAAAAAATTGCAAATAGTTAATAAGTGTTTATAGTAAAAAGCAGGTGTTTCTTTCCCCTTGGACTCCAGCCTCCCACTTACCCACCCCGGAGGTAGGCACTGTTAGGTCCAGAAATAGTCTAGGCACATCCAGGTGTATATATACATGCACACACACACACACACACGCACACACACACACACATACACACACACACATCCCCCCCTTTTTTACACAAACGTGAATGTACTTATGTACATCATTTGGCACTTTGCTATTTTTTTTTTGAAACTTAATTTTTCTTGGAGATTATTCTATAACAGATTATATAGATCTGGCTCATTCTGTTTTCATGACTGTATGGAATTGCATTGTATGGTCATACCTTAATTTATTTAACCAGTGCCTCACTAACGGACACTTAGATTGTTTGCAGTGTTACAATGAACATTCTTGTGCATACATCTTTGCTCACGTTGGCAAGTATATCATAGGATTAACATGCATTTTCTTAAATAAGAGAGCTGCACGCTGCCTAATGTCTTGTACGTCCTAGTTCCTATTAGGTGCAGGATCCAGAGGTGGTAAGTTAGTAGCTAGCACACAGCCAGGTGCTCTGCACAGGTGTCTGAGTTCCTGAATCTTCAGGGCCTGCTGCTAGAACAGCTTGTAGGGCAGGGTGGATACTCCTCAGAGACTGTTTCTCTCTCTCTAATCTGGGCCGAAAGAGCAGGCTGGTGTCAATGACCTCGAGCTTCTGTTTTTAAAGGCTTGATCTTAATAGGCTCTTCTTAAAATTTTGCTTATCTTTTTTTTTTTTAATTGAGTAGAAAATGTTTCTGAGGTTGCTTAGCTGGAATAAAATGATTTCAATGTTCAATGATTTAGTAAGCTGGGACCATTCATTGCCAAACGCCGAACCCCCAAAATTCAGGAGCAGTACCGCAGGATTGGAGGCGGATCCCCCATCAAGATGTGGACTACTAAGCAAGGGGAAGGCATGGTGAAGCTGCTGGATGAGTTGTCCCCGCACACAGGTATGGTGTTTCTCAACTCACATCTCACTAGGTTTGTTCTTTCAAAGTATAGTTATGAAATTCACAACACTGTTGGAAGACAAATGCAATTCTGGGTACCAGCAGCTTTCGATTTGCAGGGGTTCCTACATGATGCCCGGCCACTGAACTCAGTTCTTGTGGCATTTTCCTTTGTCCCCAGATGTATGCCTTTTCTATTACTTCCTTATGTTACAAATAAAAAAGCTAAAGTTTTGGAACATTAGTCTCAAAAGGAAGTTGGAGGTGTGTGTTAAGTTGAGCTGGATTATAAGGAAGAGGCTACCTACCATGAAAAAACATATGCATACATCATCGTCCTGGAAAGAAATCTTTGGGAAATAGGTTGAGGCTGCTGCTATTGTTGTTTCTTTCTGTGTGGATGACTAATTAGATCAGCATTTAGAGCAGAATTAGCTAGCTGCTACTGCAGCCATGCGGCTCTAAGCAACTTTCAGCAACCGCTTTCCGCTCTTGGCAATACCATGATTGTGAGTCATTTAAGTGCCTCGTTGGGCATGGCACTAAAAAGAGGATTACACACATCTGGTGACTGTTCTCTGAGAGCCTCTAACGCAAATTATAATGTGCAGAATGAAACATTAACTACACGGAGGAACTCTAAGTGCCGTATTTAATTGCATTCAAGACACCATTGACTGCAGGACGCACCATTGTTTTTATATACTACGAAGACACAAGACCTCTGTCAGTTAATTTTAAGACGGTGTCTGTTGTAGACCAATATAAGGTGTTAAAACAAATACTGTGCATCTTAGGACACATGAAATGTGTTCATTGCAGACAGTTTAGGGCTCAGGATCAGGACAGTGTGACACAGTGGGGACCCTCATGGACAGCAGCCCTGCTAGGCAGGACCAAAAGCATTTCATTGAGCATCAGCTCGAGTTGCTCTCAGAATCCACTGTTTGTGTCACACACGGGACAAAGGGCTCCAGCCCTCGGCAGAGCATCTCACTTGGAAAATTGTTCACTTGTGCTTTTGAATATTAGGTTTTCTCCCTGCCTTCACTTGTAGCTTCAGGGCATTTCTTACACAGCTCAGCCACATGTGACACAGCATATCTTTTAAAATGTCGGGTGAGGGAAACTTGGCTGACCTCACCTCACACCTACCTGATGGAGAACAAACTCTCTAGTCATGAACCACTTATCACGATAAAATGTTTAGCGTGAACCAGATCTGCAATCGCCATGCTGTCTTCGGTGGACGAAGGCAGCGGAAAGATGCCATTTTTCCTGTTGACGTCTTAGTCTAGCACCCATCACCATAAAAGCCCTAGTAGAGCTGTCAGCCTTGAAAAAGGAGTACATATGCATCCTTCCCACTTCCTTCTTTCTCTGTGGTGAGACTGCTGGCTTCTCCAGACCGGACAGGCCAGCAGTGGCCTCTGCCTCCCTGGTTGGTCTGGAAACAGTCCCATGGAATGACCTGGATGTATAGCAGTGTCCCATTTGCTATCAGATACCTGGTGTTGATGACCCTAGGGCATATCACCAGCCTCTGTGGCCCACGCTGGGACCCTCTGAGGCAGGCAAGTTCAATTCTGCCTTTCTGCTGCATGGTAGATGACCACCTCATCATTTAAGCAAGCCTGCTTTGGGGGTGTCTAATGCGGCCCAAGACCACCCACGCATTCATTCATTAGTGGCCTACTGAGTGCCCTGCACTGGTCAGTACTGCTAGTCACGGTTGAAAAACATGGTTTCTACTTACAAGAAGCTTCTAGTCTAGTGGGGCCTTGCTGCTGTAGGCCAGGCTGCTCCAGGGCCAGAGAGAAAAATCCTTTGAAGACTTGCTGGAGGGATACCCTACAAAACGAGTATAGCAGTTGATGATCACACAGAGTGTGGATATAGGAAACAGGAAACAGTCTCAAAGTTTAGCAGGTTCTTTGGGGGAACTTTGCATTGAAGAGCAAGAAGATTACCAGATGTGGCCCTGTGGCCCCCTCGGGGCTCGCCCAGGTTACCCAGAAAGAAGTTTCTTGTCCTGCTTGCTGTTCATGCTTTGCTGAGTGGACCTGAAGCTCGGCAGTGAAGCCCCAGCTGCCACTGGGTGGGGCTAGCACTGGGTTCCCTCCCTCCCTCGCCCCTTCCTGCTGCTTCTCCTTCCTGCTTTCAGGTTTCCTTTCTTTCTTTCTTGTTCACTTGTGCTTTTGAATATTAGGTTTTCTCCCTGCCTTCACTTGTAGCTTCAGGGCATTTCTTACACAGCTCAGCCACATGTGACACAGCATATCTTTTAAAATGTCGGGTGAGGGAAACTTGGCTGACCTCACCTCACACCTACCTGATGGAGAACAAACTCTCTAGTCATGAACCACTTATCACGATAAAATGTTTAGCGTGAACCAGATCTGCAATCGCCATGCTGTCTTCGGTGGACGAAGGCAGCGGAAAGATGCCATTTTTCCTGTTGACGTCTTAGTCTAGCACCCATCACCATAAAAGCCCTAGTAGAGCTGTCAGCCTTGAAAAAGGAGTACATATGCATCCTTCCCACTTCCTTCTTTCTCTGTGGTGAGACTGCTGGCTTCTCCAGACCGGACAGGCCAGCAGTGGCCTCTGCCTCCCTGGTTGGTCTGGAAACAGTCCCATGGAATGACCTGGATGTATAGCAGTGTCCCATTTGCTATCAGATACCTGGTGTTGATGACCCTAGGGCATATCACCAGCCTCTGTGGCCCACGCTGGGACCCTCTGAGGCAGGCAAGTTCAATTCTGCCTTTCTGCTGCATGGTAGATGACCACCTCATCATTTAAGCAAGCCTGCTTTGGGGGTGTCTAATGCGGCCCAAGACCACCCACGCATTCATTCATTAGTGGCCTACTGAGTGCCCTGCACTGGTCAGTACTGCTAGTCACGGTTGAAAAACATGGTTTCTACTTACAAGAAGCTTCTAGTCTAGTGGGGCCTTGCTGCTGTAGGCCAGGCTGCTCCAGGGCCAGAGAGAAAAATCCTTTGAAGACTTGCTGGAGGGATACCCTACAAAACGAGTATAGCAGTTGATGATCACACAGAGTGTGGATATAGGAAACAGGAAACAGTCTCAAAGTTTAGCAGGTTCTTTGGGGGAACTTTGCATTGAAGAGCAAGAAGATTACCAGATGTGGCCCTGTGGCCCCCTCGGGGCTCGCCCAGGTTACCCAGAAAGAAGTTTCTTGTCCTGCTTGCTGTTCATGCTTTGCTGAGTGGACCTGAAGCTCGGCAGTGAAGCCCCAGCTGCCACTGGGTGGGGCTAGCACTGGGTTCCCTCCCTCCCTCGCCCCTTCCTGCTGCTTCTCCTTCCTGCTTTCAGGTTTCCTTTCTTTCTTTCATTCTTTTTTTTTTTAAACATCTTTATTGGAGTATAATTGCTTTACAATGGTGTGTTAGTTTCTGCTTTATAACAAAGTGAATCAGCTATACGGAACACTCTATGACATAAATCACAGCAAGATCCTTTCTGACCCACCTCCTAGAGAAACGGAAATAAAAACAAAAATAAACAAATGGGACCTAATGAAACTTAAAAGCTTTTGCACAGCAAAGGAAAACATAAACAAGATGAAAAGACAACCCTCAGACTGGGAGCAAATATTTGCAAATGAAGAAACTGACGAAGGATTAATCTCCAAAATTTACAAGCAGCTCAATATGAAAAAGCAAACAACCCAATCCGAAAATGGACAGAAGACCTAAATAGATATTTCTCCAAAGAAGATAGATATTCAGATTGCCAACAAACACATGAAAGGATGCTCAACATCACTAATCATTAGAGAAATGCAAATCAAAACTACACTGAGGTATCCCCTCACACCTGTCAGAATGGCCATCATCGGGTTTCCTTTCTATTCATCTCTTTCTCATTCCTCCTCCCTTCTTATACTTTTTTTCCTACATAATTATAAAATTTACTTTTGAACTGTGTCTATTTGTTTATATGTATTTGGAAAAGTTCTCTTTAGTCAAAAAAAAAAAAAGTGATGATTACAACCAGATAAAAATGTTTCAGGCTCTCATTTTTGGGGCAAGTAGTTGTTGCTTGGTGGCCAGTATAGATATTTTGAGACTTGCACAGGCTCTGCATAGAGTTACTATTGACTAATTACAGTGCGTTACATGAGGGAATGTGACTTGGAATTGGTTTCATGTAGTAATACTGCATTGTGGTCATTTAGTGGACACAGAAGGAAATAGATGAGAAGTGCAATCATTTCACTTCATGAAAAGTCTAAATCTAAAATACATTTTAAAAATTATAGTTTAGTTATACATGGCTGCTTTTAATGAAGCTCTAAGTAAGTGCTACTCAGTAAAATAATTTCGTTCTTTATTGGATGCAAAATGGGTTCATTTCAGATGGAGCTGGCTTCCCCATCCCTGGTTGTGTGACGTCAGGCAAATAACTTACCCGACTAAACCTCATCTTGAAAATGGGGATGATAACAGAACCCAACTCATAGGACCACTGTGAAAATGAAATAAGATAATCCTGAAAGGCATTAGCACGGTGCAGTGTACATGATAAAAATTCAGGAAATGTGAGCTTTTATTATTCACCATTGGCATAGGGTTCATGATCTGATACAAATTACAAAGCATTATAATAACTTCACACCATTCTCTCAAAGAATCATGTACGAATCAGACATTTGAACTATTGCCCGTGCTAAATGAATGGACTGGAGATTAATGAAGTTTTACTGTTTAAAAAATGGCTTTTCTATTTGTTCCTTTTTTTTACTTCTTTGTAGTTCTCACCCAGGAGTGTTCACTGAGCAGCTGCTCTGAGGGTGGACGAGGCTGGGCCAGCGAGTCATGTGTTTGGCGCTCACTCTGGCCAGATGTGCTGCCCACCAGATGTGATGCTAGATGACATCCAGGAGACTTCTTCCTCTCCCCGCGCTCCTGCGGGGGGAGCCAGGAGCCTCCGTGCATGCTTGTTAGCTCCTCAGGATAGACCCAGTCGGAGACAGTGCGTTGTCACTTTTTCTAAAATACGTTTTTGCAGGCCGTCTTGAATTGGACCGTTTAGAAAGCATTATCTGTTCTTCCCAGAGTATTTTACTCTGTCTCACTTCCAGATACGGTCACTGCCGTGCTTTTATCTGTGAGGGACGCCTCTCCACCTCTCTTAATCTGTAACATTTGAGGAACTCCCAGACCCCAGGCATTTAGGCTACAACTTTCAACTACAGGGCAGCTGAAAAGAAAACAGGAGAAGCTGGTTGACCCACAGCATTCAGGGGATCTTACTGTGTCAATCTGATCATTGGATTGTCTCAAGATAGATTAGAAAGCAAATTCCACTTCAGCCTCAGCTCAGAGCACCAAGAGCTCCTGAAAAGTGGACTTGATGATACTGTGATAGTTGGCAGTTTTAGCACGAACCACATAATCTTTGAACAATCAGTCATTTGGAGTTTGCTTACAGGGCCATGCCCTCTGGGGTGTTTTAACCGCAGGTCACCATATTTTATGCAAGAGACCAAAAAATTGGTAGCCTAGAATGGACAGGCAGCTGAGAATGATTTCATTTGTATTCCTTCCTTCCTCTTTTTGTAGTTCTCAACCGGAGAATATTGGATCAGACTGTCCTTGCCCTGCACAGACATGCTTCTCTTCCCCTGTCGATATTCTGCTTCTGTTCTTGGCAACATGCTCCATTGATTCAGTCCCCTGGGTCAAGTTTCTGAGGAATGTTTTCTATATCTATATCTATATGTAGCACACACATATATACATATGTATAAAATATACACACATATGTATATACACACTCATATAGAGAGAGAGACACACACACACGCAATACATGTATCATCTTTTTCTTCACTTCAACCTAAATGTTTCTTGAGGCAATTTAGTGTCATATTCTTAGTTGCAGCCCTGGCTTATGCCTGGACAGTAACGTCATCTCAGGTTCACTATTACTTAATGTTTATGTAGTGTATTTTCAACTTCATCCCTGAGTATAAGTTGAGTGTAATCCTATGAAAAGACAAGGAAACAAAACTGGGTAACTTTAGGAAACTTTCAGTTTTATGATTTTATAAATGTCTAAGAAATTGGTTGAGGAAGCTTTTAAAATACAGGAGGAGATAAGAGGGGGAATTGGTAAAGTGATAGAAGGACTGCAAAGATGTGCCCTGACTTGGGCCATTTAGGTGCCAGAATAATGATTTTTAAATCCCACTTAGCGCCTCCAACTTAAGCATTGTTGTTGGTTTGTTCGTTGATTTGTTTTTCATATAAGTGAGGAGAATCATTTGAATCATTTGTTATTAGTGCACTTTTATCAAGTATCCCAGAGCTTTTATATAAACTAGGTGGCCTGGGGTCTGAGGGAACAGAAGGAGGGGACCCGGGTTTTGGAAGAGGCTGGGGGTGAGCCATGGAAGGAGCACAGGCTTTGGGGTGGGGAGACCCACGTTGCAATCTCATCTCAACCATCTGCTAGTTGTGACTTTGGGCATGTTCATTAACCTTTGAGAGTCTGTTTCCTTATCTGAAAAATGGGGTTTAGATGAGAAAAAAAAAAGCACCATGTCTCCCATGGTATCTGGTACATAAGAGGAGGTTATACTTTAAGGATAAATGCTCTCTGCTCTTGAGTCTCTCTTATCTCAGCCAAGAGCAGAGAATAAGGCCCAGAAGCTTGAGTTTTAAAAACCATATGCTAAATAAAGGTGTGTGTGTGAGAGGGGAGGTTGAACACAGAAAATAATTTTTAAAAATCCATATACTAGCAGAAGACTGGCTAAAATCCAAGGACTATTCTAAACTTGCTCACATTATCAGTATCATAGGAAATTAGGTTAACTGTCTTTGTTCCGGACACTGCATTCTGTTTGGAAGCTATATCAAGATGAATGCTTTCTCCTTTCCACACATGCTTCCTAATAGCCCCTCACAAATACTATATTGGATTCCGGTATGTCCACCCGTTAACAGAAGAAGCAATTGAAGAGATGGAGAGAGATGGGCTGGAAAGGGCGATTGCTTTCACACAGTATCCACAGTACAGCTGCTCTACCACAGGTAAGGCTTCTCTCTGACAGTGGGAGGGTAGATCTGGCCCTGGCAAAAATAACCAGGGAACCTGAGCGCGGAAGGAAACGATAAATCATTTTCGATTTGAATGGCAAATCCAGTCTGTCTGTTTTAAACATGAGAGTTCAGGTCAGTCCGTTGGAAATCTCATGGTTCATCTGTCCCTTGAGTTATTAGCCAGTTGACTGAGAATTACAAATGGTGGGTGAAAGGCAGTGGCTTCCAGTGTTCAGTGCTTTAATGCAGCTGTATAATGGATCAGTAATGAACCTTAAGCCACTTTCTATGTTTGTGTAATAACCCTTATTTTTATGGCTACCCTAATATTCTTATTAATGTAGCAAAGTTGATAGCTGTTCCCATTTTGCCAGCAGAGATGTCCATATAACATTGGAAATATTGGTATGTATTTTGGTTATGCTTTGCTTATGGGTTGGTTCCTGGTTAAACCAAAACCCAGTTTAGGGTTTCCTTTGCAAACTTCTCTCAGTGTTCTAGATTTTGGGAAATGTTACTAGGTGTTGTTTCCTATATATTTAATTGGAGCTGGAGAATAATCTGTTTTGCCAATCGCTGTATTATGAGGTATAGGTAAATCTACTGTCACCCACAAATACATTTGTTTACATCCTTTCTCAAGGCTTGCGGTCAGCACATTTTTACTCTCAAATTGCTTTTGGACATTAGTGCATATTATTTCTATAACTATAAGGAGAAAACAAAAGGCTACTGGAAGAAATCTTGGAAGCCTGGTGTGTGCCTTAAATATTTATTCAGAGCACCTGTGAAAATGTCTGAGTTCTCAGACACCCTCAGGAGTTTGAACTGTGATTCCTTTTGGATATGTACCTCAGTAACTTTAAAATGTCTGGTAACGTTATTGGAGAATAAATCAGATTTTATAAATTTCTAAACTATACTTTGGCCGGGCTTTCAAAAATATAACTCAACATGTAAATGTCCACTCTCAAAATTAAACAAGTTCAGAAGATGGTTATTTATATGGCAAAGGATTGACTAGGGTTTCATTTCACAGCTGTGGCTCTAGCAGTGTGTTTAAAACAGTAGTGTCTGCAGCTTTTCCCTACTGCTTCTGGTGTAAGGGCAGGTGCATCCCTACTTCAGAGATGTGAAAGCCTTTGGGAAGTATGTTCATTCTTTGAGGCCACTAGAGTGTCATTTATCTGTTGTTTTATTTAGACACATATTGTGGCAGCAGCAGTATATTCTATGTATCAATCACTTTTTTTAATCATGCAACTTTTTTAGTTACGCTTTTCCCTTAATTACTACTTTTGATAGTTCATTGCATGCTTCTGAGTGATTCAGAAGACCTGCTGTGGCTTCTCGAAGTCCTTCTGTACATCTGAAGATGCTGTTCACCTGTGAAATGTGGTTTGCAATGTGAAGATGGTGGTGACTGCTTTGTGATTTCTGGAGGGATGGTATTTGAACCTGGAATGGACTCAATTTGGATTTATCTGACTCATTGTATTCTGCTCAGAAAAATGGAACTCCAATTATTTTTTTGAAAATTGAGCCTTAGCCTGAGAGTACATGTGATTTAAATATGGCTTTTTCCTGGCTAGCATTTTAATTTGGAGACCTAACTGGTTAATAATTCTCATGGAGAAACCGGTGGTGTTGGGAAGCGTGGCAATGTTTTGGAGCGTTTGACCCATGTGAAGATTGAAGAGGAGGCCCCATGTTAGGGTTAGTTTCCTAGGATTAAGGCTTGGCTCCAGTGCCAGCTCCTCTAGGCCAGGAAAAAAATTGCACTGGGTTGGCACCATCTGCTTTCCCTTAGTCTTCAAATTTTCATGGTTTCCGTCTCTCGTTTAGAAATACAAGTTTTGTTAGATTACCTGTAAGGATTTGGTATTCATTTAACTTATTCTAGGGAATGATGATAATTTTATAAAGCAGGTAAAAACAGAGAATGTGCTTAGAAACCTTAATAAGCTGCTCTTCTTATCAAACAAGCCATTAAAAAGGATGGTTATAAAGCTTTTATTATAATGTGGAAAATATTCATCTCATAATACTAAGTAAAAATGCCCTAAATACTCAGGATACAAAACTGCACATGTCCTAAAAAGTATAACTTTGTAAAACAAAACAGCTGTAAAGAAAAATAATTGGAAAGAACTACCTTAGAATAAAACAATGACTGTATTAGCATGCTGGGGTCATGGCCAGTTTCTTTTTTGCTTTCTTTCCCACCCCTACATTTTCTGTAAATGGGGTTGATTACCTTCATAATGGGAAAAAAATTTAACATGCTTTCAATTGTAAGACTTGGTCCTTGCAAATAATGACTGCTTGTATTTCATAAATCCGCTGCCATTGTGCTTCTCTAGAGAAGTGGCCTTGATACTCTTTGAAAGGCCATTGAAATTGATTGCTTTTTAGTGATCTTCATTTGCAGGGTAGTTAAATCTATATGCATTTTAGAGTATTGAAGTGATTGTAATTAGACTGATTCAGTGCAGACTTACCTACTTTGAACTTATTACTGCTTTTACTAGTCTGTTTTTTATTTTCACCATAGCCCACATGCGTGTACTAAGTGGCCCCTGTATATTTCAGGCAGCAGCTTAAATGCCATTTACAGATACTATAATGAAGTGGGCAAGAAGCCCACGATGAAGTGGAGCACGATTGACAGGTGGCCCACACACCCCCTCCTCATTCAGGTAAGCCAGCCACTGCCAGCTGCGTCTGTCACCCCAGCTTCTGGTGTGAGTCAGGTTCTTGTCCCTGCCTGGTCTGTGGGTGTCCTGAATCTTACTGTTCTCTTACTTAAATTGTGTGCTGGGGATTAACAAAAGGTATTAGAGTCTTGATTTATTATGACAGGAGGAAATAAATTTAAAGATTAAAGGGTAAACTCTTTTCTTTCTTCAGATTAATAGTATTAGTTACAGACCATGGCAGAATTATGTTTTGAGTTTTGTGTTTCACAGTGACCAAAAGAACGTTAAAGATTATGCAAGGAAAAAAAAAGATTATGCAAGTTGTTTCATTTAATCTCCATTCATAGACTGAACAGCTGACAAATAGATCCTCTATTTTCTAAATCCTTTAAAATACCAAAAGATTAAAAAATTTTAAAGATAATATATCTACATGTTCTGAGACAGAATAAATTTAACATTTCAATTGAGAAAGTTTCATATATTAAAAGAAATTTCAAATTTCTCCTACATAGTTTATATTTATAATATTTATAGTAATAGATGTTTGATTTTAGGAGAATCGGTTAAAGCTACAATTCTAAAGCTTTGAATTGGTGTTATTATGTACTTTTTCGCCCTTTGAATAGGGGAGTACTACTGGCTATTGTCCTTGATCAAACAAATATTATTTTGTTCTGTTGGTGGAAGTTTCTACCTTCGAGTTAGTTTAGGTAGAAGAAATACTAAGTGATGTGGATTTCATCCGTTTATTTTTCATTCCTCAGACCGTCTCTGGCAAAATACCAGCTTAACACTTTTTTGAAGCCTGGAGTAACTTAAAATCGATAACCACTAGATGGTGGTAGACATCATTGAAAGCAGGCCGGCTCGCCTCTGAGCAGACGGTGTTTTCCTTAGGCCTGTAGGTGCTGTCAAGGGTTAACGCTTAGGTTGAAATCCAGTTTTAAGTAAAAAGTGCGAAGTGAAAAGGAGGCACCTTCCCTCAGGGATGGGTGTAGTTTTGGTCTCAGTGTGGTGTCCTCCTCCCCACCTCTCTCCCAGTTTGCTCTTTGCTGGGTCCAGTCCGGACCGCCTGAGCCCCAGCCTGGCCTGCCTGTTCTGCTCTTGGAGGCCTGTGATTGGAAACAAGGGAGGTTTCAGGTTAGCACTGACATGTGGTCGCAGAGAACCGAGGGATCTGCACAGCATCTGCCTGCCCTAATTGAGGGAGTAATTAGATTTGCATTAAAATTCAGTCCTTTGAAAAGGAGGGAAGCAGAAAGATGGAAAGGTCTCTTCACTGAGGAAGTCTCCCTTCATAAAATGAAAGGGAATTTTAGAGGCATTTATCTGCCCTCCTATATGGTGTGATTGAAGGCTCTCAGAGCCGCCTGCTTTTTCCATTCTGCAGAGGGATTGCGCATAGAAAATACCACAGATGGATTTTAGATGATTTCAGGAACACTTCTGCTCGCCCACGGCTCCTCTATTTTGATGAAGGCTGACTCTGTTGTAAGCTGTCACAAATTGTGTTTCTACTTGCAGTTACGCAAGATGATAAAAGGAAAAAATACTACTAAAATTTTGAGGAAACAAAAATTTATGGTTAGATTTTATTAGTATCATGACGATTACGTGAGGAGATTTGATATCTAGTGGAAATAGAAAAAAACCCCAACTAAACAAAAACTAAAAGTAAAAACTGAAACTAAAAATTTTGTGTTTAGTCTACATTTCTATCGATACGTATTATAGGTAGTAATTACTCAAAATAGTCATTTTACTACTCTATCTGGCTGTTGGAATATTTGGTGTAAATGTATGTTCCAGGCTCCTACTTAAACTTTGCATTGGGCCTCCTTATCTAGGCTTTTATACAAAGTCTTTTCTGAGCATCCTTAGTCTCCAAACACTGCAGAGACCACCAGAAAATATTGCTTTTGTCTGAATCTAATCCTATCACATCGACTCTATAGGTAAATTATAAATTTTGAAAAGGGAGCTAACTCTCTAGGCACCGTTTTGTGCCTTAGAGCATTAATTTGTCAAATTTTGTGGGTTCTGGAAAGATTAATAATATCCCGATATTTATTAGGTAATAATTTGCTCATCCTATAGTATTAACCACTGATATATCAAAATGCCAACAAGTACAAATTTACATGGTTCTGGTAAATTGTCCTTTATAATTTTTTTTAATAATGCTTTAAAAGCCTTTTTATTTGGAAATCATTTCAAGTACTGGAAAAGTTACAAGACTAAGAATAGTATATAAGAAACTCTCTTTGTTTAGATTCACATATTAATAACATTTATCCCACTTGCTTTATCATTTGCATGCTCTGTGTGTGTGTATGCATATGTATGTGTGTCTATGTATACATAATTTTTTTCCTGAACCTTTTGAGAATGTTTTTTATATATATATATACATACATACACACACACACGCATACATACAGACTTATAGAACCACGCTTTACACCTAAACAGCAGGCGTATTCTTTTCCATAACAATGATACAATATTCAACTTCAGCAAATTTAACATTGATACTTAAATCTATCTAATCTACATTCATATTCCAATTTTGTCAATTGACCCATTAATGTCCTTTGTAGCATTTGCTTTATAAGTTAAATGACAGAGTGATTAAAGAGTGAGATAAAAGAAAGCCTCTTCAGATCTGGTATTTCAGCACCTATTGTTGTGACTGGGGGAAGTGCCAACTAAGGAAGGGAATTAACTGGTCTGGTGGAGAGAGATGTGACGAGGAAGGGGGGCTGCGTTCTAGCCCAGGTTCCGCAGATGCCATGCGGCTGAGCGGGCTGAACGGGCCCCCCAGTCAGCCTCAGCTCCCCCCTCTGTGGATTTAGCGAGAGTTGTACAACCTCTCATCTGTTGTTATGAAGGCTGTCATGAAGATTGACTCAGTGAGGAAAAGGTCGTAAAAATAGAATCATATTTTCTTATTCCTCTGTTATTTCTGTCTAATGTATTTTAATGTGATATGCCTGAAAGCCAAGCTAAGGGAGATTTAGTAAGACCCTGTAAGCTGTTTTCCTGCTAGCCGAGCAAATGAGAGGTCTTAAAACAGCTTCTCCTTCCCATCTGTGTTTCCTTTCCATCTGGAAGTGTGCCCTGTGCCTCCCAAGGGGAAGCATCCAGAGCGTTCGTTTTCAGTGAGCCATTAGCGAGCTTTAGAAGTTTCCCATCAAATTCCCCAGGCCCCTGAAACCGTTATGAGCCATTTTGATGATGAACCAAAGCAAGAGAGACTGTACGGTTTGCAGTTTTTTTTACAAAGACAGTTCTGATGTTTGAGGGCTTCTCTGAGAGTTTTGGTGTCGCTCTCATTTGAAAAAGATTTTCTTTTCCTTCCATGTCTTCCTTCCCACTCCCTCCTTATCCCCCTTTCTTGGTGTTCCCACAGTGCTTTGCCGACCACATTCTGAAAGAACTGGACCATTTTCCACTTGAGAAGAGACGCGAGGTGGTCATTCTTTTTTCTGCTCACTCGCTGCCAATGTCTGTAAGTAAGAACATCCTGTTGGATAACCAAGTGGTAGAGGATTTCGAAATGTGTAACCTGGACTCAGCTTCCATTCGGCCTAAGCCCAGTGCAAGCAGGAGCTCTAAAATCTCAAACTGAACTTGGTGCTAATTTTAGACTCATTTCTTGAAGCCTAATAACAATTCATTCAGACTATACTATTGTGAATAGACATTGTCCTAATAAGTCCCTTTAAAAATGGTAACTTGAAGATATATTCCTACATAAGAATTTTTAATAAGTGGGACAGTTAAAAGGAGACCGCTTTTTGCCTGCCCTGTTGAAGGAACTCAGCCTGATGTTTCAGGGTGTTGGATTGTAGAGCCGAGCACTCTCAACCCCATTCTTTTTTTTTTTTGCGGTACTCGGGCCTCTCACTGTCGTGGCCTCTCCCGTTGCGGAGCACAGGCTCCGGACACGCGGGCTCAGAGGCCATGGCTCACGGGCCCAGCCGTTCCGCGGCATGTGGGATCTTCCCAGACCGGGGCATGAACCCGCGTCCCCTGCATCGGCAGGCGGACTCCCAACCACTGCGCCACCAGGGAAGCCCTCAACCCCATTCTTTTGTCCTCAAGACTTGGGCTGTTTGAATTCCCGGAAGTGATTAGTTTTTAATTTGCCAAGGCTAGGGAGCACATTTTGGCCAGTGAATATAGAGTGTGTCAAATTATGATCTGGTTGCTGCTGAGTTTCTCATATTACACTGGGTGTTCATTAAGATACCGCATCTGTGCCTTCACTGTTGCATTTGTGGAGACAAGAATGATGGAGCTGGTGTATGTATGATTTACAGAAGTGCTTGGGATAAGCAGCCAGTTTCATCAGCTTAGAACCAGCGTTGTACCCAAAAACATTGCTTTCAAAGCTGGAGACGTAGAGAACGACATTTTCTTCGGTGTTATTAAGGTTTTAACTCCAGGGATAATGGAGTTAATGCAAGTGTTGTGTCTGGGGCCACTCTTCTAATTGGTCTGTGCTGCCACCTGGTGGTCACCAGGGGCAAGCCCTTTGCAGCTTCTCTCTCCTACATGTCACCTAAGCGGTGCCACGTTCAGCAGTAGGTAGCTCTGGAGAGAAATTTCTCTCTTCTGGAAGCCTGCCTGTTCTCTTTTCTGGTCCCGTGCAAATTCTCTTCACATGTCCATCCTCTTGCTCTGTGCTTCTCCTTTTTATAACTGTCCTGTGTGTGATGAGGCCGTGTCTGAAGTGCCAGAAGGGAAGCTCTCTAGCCAGGAAAGGAGGAAGCACATTTTTTTTTTTTTTTTTCTTGCGTTATGCGGGCCTCTCACTGTTGCGGCCTCTCCCATTTGCGGAGCACAGGCTCCGGACGCGCAGGCTCAGTGGCCATGGCTCACGGGCCCAGCCGCTCCGCGGCATGTGGGATCTTCCCGAAACGGGGCACGAACCCGCGTCTCCTGCATCGGCAGGCGGACTCTCAAGCACTGCGCCACCAGGGAAGCCCGGAAGCACATTTTTATACGTGAACGATTCCAGGTGCTGCCTTCTCTCCTCTCGTCTCTCACCTCACTTCCCGTTCTTCCCCTCAGGGACTGAACATGCTGCTTCCAGGTTTGTTTATTTGGGTTTTTTTTTTGCTGCCCAAGGTCTTGGGTGAGACTGAGAAACACCATGAAGTCAGGAGGATAAGGATGGGGTAGGGAAGGCAGAGGGATTGTCGAGCAAGAAGACTGTTCTCACAAGCTCTTCTTTTTCCCCTGCATTCGCTTCTAATGACTTTTTCCCCGTAATGACTTTTTAAAAACGTATTATGTTGAAGTCATTTTAGACTTAACAGAAAAGTTGCAAAAACAGTACGGTGTTCCCTTAGCTTCTCCTAATGTTGACATCTCACATAACCAGAGTCCAGTGATCAAAACTAAGGACCGAACGGCGGTACAGCGCTGTTACCTGAAGGCCTTACTCAGATGTCACCACTTCTTCCTCAGTTGTCTCTTTGCTGTTCCAGGATCCAATCCAGGACATAACATGGCATTTACTTGTCACGTCTCCTCAGGATCCTCCAGTCTGTGACAGCTCCTCATACTTTCCTTGTCTTTCATGACCTTGATATTTTTGAAGAGTGATTTTAGTAGCATGTTAGTTATTTTGTAGCATGCTCCTCCATTTGGATTTGTCTGATATTTTCTCATGATTAGACTGAGGTCGTATATTATCAGGAGAAAAACCCCTGGGGTGGTCTGTCCTCAGTGTAGCATATCGGGGGAACACACTGGCAGTATGTTTTACTACTCGTGACGTGATCCCTGGTCATTTGTCTAAGGCGGTATCTTCTGGATTTGTCCATTATAAAGTCACTATTTTTCTCTCTGTAATTACAAATATCTTAGGCAAGCTACTTTGAGACGGTGCAAATATCTTGTGGTTCCTCAGACTTTTGCCCACTAATTTTAGCCTCCATCAGTGGATATTTCTGTGCTGTTCTAATGGTGACTTTATATTTCCCTCATTCCTTCTACATTTATGTTTCTAATGGCAAACTAACTTTTAGTAATATCATGAAAAGGTTCATCATTTTATTTCGACAATGTTTGTTGAACACCTACTATATTCCAGGCAGTCTTCTATCCTCTATCATAAGATATGGCAATGAACAAAATAGACAAGAATCTTTGCCTCCAGAGAATGGGGGAAGGGGGGCAGATAATAAACATAATACATAAGAAAATAATCTGGAATATTAGGAGGTAATAAGTGCTATGGGAAGAAATAAAGCAGGGTAAGGGGGTTAGGGAGTTAGTACACAACTAAATATTAAAGAAGTAAAAGTAACATTTCTACTGAACATTTTCAGAGGTATTAGCAAGCTGTTCTGGCTGTGAGTAGCATTTACAGATATTGTGCACAAAGCATTGCCACGGTCCGCTGTTGTGGGAAGACTGGGGAAAAGGAATTAGAAGGCACAGGCCATGCTCTTGAGGAGCCTGAAGTCTGAGCCCGCATGCTGCTTCTTTCTCTTATTCCACTAGTGTTTACTCTGTGTCCACCTGGTCCCCATAGACTCAGTAGTTCTGTACACTGTCCATACAGCACTCTTTCAATTTCATTTCTAAAATCAGGGAGTTCCCTGGTGGCCTAGTGGTTAGGATTCCAGGCTTTCACTGTCGTGGCCCGGGTTCAATCCCTGGTTGGGGAACTGAGATCCCACAAGGTGTGCAGCGCAGCCAAAAATAAAAATAAAATAAAATGAAATAAAATCAGCCCCACAGGTGACTACCAAGAGTGAAGGCCCATCCCTTGTTGCCTCTTCCTTCCCAGCTTTTCTGTCTCATTTTCCCTGTTTCAGATGGGGGATTGAAGAAACCCATCCTCCATCGTCATACATTGTCAATCTCCCACGAATAACATGGACACAGAATTTGACATGTTCCTAGGGACCTTAGAGATGATTGAGTACAGTGTTCTCCTTTGGCTGATGAAATCGATCCAAGGAAGTTGGGCGTTGAGCTCAGATGGCATGGTCGTTAGCGCAGAAGACAAGGGGCGGCCTCAGGTCCAGGGCTCACGCCACCTCACCGCACAGTCCAAGGCTCTCGGAACCCTTCACAGTGTTGGTGACTGAACACCCGTGTCTCTGTTGCAGGTGGTCAACAGAGGGGACCCCTATCCTCAGGAGGTGGGCGCCACTGTCCAGAGAGTCATGGATAAGCTGGGTTACTCCAATCCCTACAGACTGGTTTGGCAGTCCAAGGTAGGTGGCTTCCACACATCTGCAGGCAGTCAGCTTTCTTGAGGATGTGTATTTTAGGACATAGTTATAAAATGATTAGATTGGGCCCTTTCACGTAGGCAGATGTTCTGTAACCTGACTGCTCCCATGAGCAGAAAGAACTCTGCAAGCAAATAAGATGGAGGGACCATCAAGTGACTACTGGAATTCCTTGATTCCATTGAAACAGTAGATTATTTTTAATTGTAATCATAGAAATTGTTTTTTTTTTATATTTTGCCAATTTCGAGGATTCAAGCTTAATATAGAAATACCAGAACCCATTAGAGAAGGTGTAAAACGTGGCCCTCACTCTTACAGGGAGGTGTGTGTATGTCCAGGGCAGTGGGCTGTGGTGAGACGTGGGTCCCTGTGTGCATTCATCCTCCTTTCTCACAGGTTGGCCCGATGCCCTGGCTGGGTCCTCTGACAGACGAGGCCATTAGAGGGCTTTGTGAGAGGGGGAGGAAGAATATCCTTTTGGTTCCGATAGCATTTACCAGCGATCACATTGAAACGCTGTATGAACTGGACATCGAATACTCTCAAGTTCTAGCCAGTGAGGTAAGTGTGGTTATCAATCCCATTGTGATTTGTTTTAAAAGGAAACTCTCTCTGCAGTGATCTAATTGTATCATTCAAAACTATTGTTCAGTATATATGTTTGCAGGTACTGTGGCCTCATTGTTCTGAATAATATTTCATCTGAGTACGATCTGAACACATCAACTTAATTGCATGTTTGCAGTGGGAAAGCACTCTTGTGCCTTTGTAAAACTAGGCAGCCCAGGGATCACTGCAGGCAATATCATTTTGTTTAGTTTGAGTTACTCTACCCGTTGAAAATAATAAAAACTACATTTCCTTAAGAAAAAAATAATTATACTTCTCACCAGTTTGGAGGAAAAGAATTTTCTTGTTCTATAATTCCTCCTCTTCACCTAATAGTGCCCTTTACTTGGGCTGTTACACTGCTTCTGGTTGGGTTTCGAGGCACATAGGAGTCATCGCCATTTAAGAGAAGGGCGTGGAATGAACACTGGCACAGTATGTGTTACTTCCTTGACCTCTGTATGCACTCACTTAATTAGCTCTTTGCTACTGTGTTGTGAGCAGTCTGGTTATTGAAATAACAAATACCATTCTGAGTTGTCTTGTAATGTAAGATGGATGTGATTGTCATTCACATGGAGAAAAACTATTGTTGACCCATCTCAGGGCTTCTGAGGGCCGGCCTGAAACCTGAGTCCACTTCTTAGCATTGTTTCTATGGGAATTGTGGAACCCTTGGGACCCAAGGAGCCCTTCCCTCTCATCTTCCACCAGACCTCTTGGCCCTGGTCACCCCACGTGTGATGGATGGGGCCCTGGCCTCGAAGGATTCTTCACCCTCTCTGGGACCAGGTGGCAGGTGCAAGGAAGGGTGGAGAGTGGACTGGGGGAAAGCTTTAGCAGCACCCGACCCCACAGGTTTTTGTACGGATGTACTGGTCATCAATCACACATTGATGAAGGTGGAGGGTGCCTAAGTTACTTGTCAGTAGTTCTGATAAGGAATTTATGGGAAAGTTGTAGTTGGCTAACATGAGGTTGTAGGGTTGTCTATGGACTTCATTTGCCGATGCCTTCTAGGGACTTCCCCAGCAGTCCAGTGGTTAAGACCCTGCACTTCCACTACAGATACAGGCGATCTCTGGTTGGGGAACTAAGATCCCACATGCCATGCGGCACAGCCAAAACAAAACAAAAAAATGATGCCTTCTATATCCCAGCAATGACCTTGGCTAATGGTGACCTTGCTAGAAAACTGAAGTGCAAAGGTAGTTCATACCAGTGTATTTGGAAAACAAATTTTTGTTTGTATCGCATGATAATTCACATTCATTCATATTACCAAACTGAGGTCATCCCTTAGTAATCAAATGGATTATTAGTGACTAATATATTAGCCTATATAGAGAATAAAGAAAACCATCTACTGCAATTGATTTCATTATTTTGAAGGGAGAATACACTACATTTAAAAGTGTTAACTTTCTTTAAAAAGTAGTTTGAAATTTTTGCCCAAAATAGAAATTATTGCTTTTTGATAATAAAAATAATAAAGAACTCATTTCAGAGAAGTAGGACATAGAGAGTAGAACTCACTCAGACTCTTACCCCCGAGAGATATGTTAATATTTTGTTAAAAATGAGTCCCCTTTTCCCTCTAAATGTGCGCGTATCTTAATGAAAGTGGTTTTCTTCTACACATTTAGTAAAAATGGTATTTTATTTGCACTGTTTTTGTAACTTTTTTTCCTCTTAAAAATGTATTATGTATACATTAAAAATGTATTAGTATACTTTTTCTTTTTTTTTTTTTACATCTTTATTGGAGTATAATTGCTTTACAATGGTGTGTTAGTTTCTGCTTTATAACAAAGTAAATCAGTTACACATATACATATATCCCCATATCTCTTCCCTCTTGCCTCTCCCTCCCTCCCACCCTCCCTATCCCACCCCTCCAGACAGCCACAAAGAACCGAGCCGGTTTCCCTGTGCCATGCGGCTGCTTCCCACTGGCTATCTACCTTACGTTTGTTAGTATATATATGTCCATGTCTCTCTCTCGCCCTAACACACCTCACCCTTCCCCCTCCCCATATCCTCAAGTCTGTTCTCCAGTAGGTCTCTGTCTTTATTCCTGTTTTACCCCTAGGTTCTTCATAACATTTTTTTTTCTTAAATTCCATATATATGTGTTAGCATACGGTATTTGTCCTTCTCTTTCTGACTTACTTCACTCTGTATGACAGACTCTAGATCTATCCACCTCATTACAAATAGCTCAATTTCGTTTCTTTTTATGGCTGAGTAATATTCCATTGTATATATGTGCCACATCTTCTTTATCCATTCATCCGACGATGGGCACTTAGGTTGTTTCCATAACCTGACTGTTGTAAATAGAGCTGCAATGAACATTTTGGTACATGACTCTTTTTGAATTATGGTTTGCTCAGGGTATATGCCCAGTAGTGGGATTGCTGGGTCGTATGGTAGTTCTATTTGTAGTTTTTTAAGGAATCTCCATACTGTTCTCCATAGTGGCTGTACCAATTCACATTCCCACCAGCAGTGCCAGAGTGTTCCCTTTTCTCCACACCCTCTCCAGCATTTACTGTTTCTAGATTTTTTGATGATGGCCATTCTGAATGGTGTGAGATGATACCTCATTGTAGTTTTGATTTGCATTTCTCTAATGATTAATGATGTTGAGCATTCCTTCATGTGTTTGTTGGCAGTCTGTATATCTTCTTTGGAGAAATATCTATTTAGGTCTTCTGCCCATTTTTGGATTGGGTTGTTTGTTTTTTTGTTATTGAGCTGCATGAGCTGCTTGTAAATTTTGGAGATTAATCCTTTGTCAGTTGCTTCATTTGCAAATATTTTCTCCCATTCTGAGGGTTGTCTTTTGGTCTTGTTTATGGTTTCCTTTGCTGTGCAAAGGCTTTGAAGTTTCATTAGGTCCCATTTGTTTATTTTTGTTTTTATTTCCATTTCTCTAGGAGGTATACATTTAAGATGTTTCTGATTTTTTGCTTTCATAAACTGCTCTGTAATAAACATCATTTTTCCAATTATTTTCTTAGAAATAATTCCTAGCAATGGAATGTAAATGTTGGTACATATTTTATTGGATTGTCCTACAGAAATACATCCTTTAAGTCTCCCATGAACAGTGTTTGAGAACACTTGGGCCTCCCCTGGTGGTCCAGTGGTTAAGACTCCTCACTTCCACTGCAGGGGGCACGGGTTCGATCCCTGCTCAGGGAACTAAGATCCTGCATGCCATGCAGTGTGGCCAGAAAGAAAAAAAACAGTGTTTGAGAACACTGACCAACTGGTTATCCTGCTGTTACTTTCTACATGAAGTTTTGGAATATGATCGATCTCTTTTTAAATTGAGAACTATGTGTTTGCTGAATCTCACCATTTTCCCCTTCCCAGTCTTCTAACGTAAAAGATAAAGCAACAAAAAAGCCATCAGCATTTCAGAAGGGGAAAGAGAAGATCCTAGCTACCTGAGTAAATAAGAATTAGATATTTCTCAGTTATTTGGGGGATAATTAGCTGGAATCAACTGTATATTTTTGGAGAGGGGAGCAGGGATGGTTGTAAACAATCCTTAGGTTTTTAATTTAGATTTTTCTATGTAAGAATATATTTAAAAACCCAACTCTGCATATTGGATCCAGTCTAGTTTCAATATACGTTAAATTAATTTACCTCTCTTGGAACTTGGAATCAAAACATGTGTAAAGATTTAAGTCATTAAAGCAACGTTCTGCTTAGATAGAGTCTGTAAAAGTATGAATTAGAAAGGTAGACTGAAAAAAGAATGGTAAGAAGATTTAAATTACTTGACTATTCTATCAGATACAAACCTCAAAAATGGTATGGAAACAAAGCACCCATGGGAAGGTAATGGGATGAGGGAAGGAATAGAAATTGAAGAGCAATTTTATGATAAAGGGGTGAAAATCAGCGTCTATGTCTGGTCCCGGGACTGTTTTTCATTTCTGGGTAGTCTGGGAACACTTTGGTACTAAGACTTCGAGTTGTGTATGTATGTATGTTTATTTATTTTATTTTATTTTTTGTAGTAGTTTCTTTAAAAAAAAAAAAAGGAAAATAAAACGTGTATGTGTTTTTCCTCCCTTTTCTCATTTGATTTCAGTGTGGGGTTGAAAACATCAGAAGAGCAGAGTCTCTTAATGGAAATCCACTGTTCTCGAAGGTATCTCTAGTGTTACAACCATTTTAGTAGAACATGTTGGAGAGCAGTCCTCTGAGAAACTCTTACAGAATATTGGTTTTCTCACATATTAGAACATTTTGAGTTCCAATTAATTACAAAAATAAAATCGAATTCCTTATGCTCTCTCGCTCTTTTCTCCTTTAGAGAGCCCCCGTTTTCTTATTTCTACCCACCTATCACTATGTCTAATTAAAAATCTGCC